TTGTGAATTTTATCATACAAAACCCAGACCATGCATGAGATAGTTTTTCCTTATCACCCTCTAATTATCATAAGTTTTAGATTTTTTTGAATGGCTAGCATTTTTATTAGGTAGGGGGTTATTCACCTAAGTCACAAATTGCTTAAATAGAATAGCCTGATATTTTTAAGGTTTAAAATGCTATGTTTAAATACTAGATGGGCTACTCAGGGAAACTGTGAAATACCCTTCAGAATTTTCAAAAATTATTTACAGTCTTCTTTAAAGTCAAGGAAGTGCTCAGTTTGGAAGCACATATACTAAAATCAGAACAATACTGAGAAGATCAGCACGGCCCCTGTGCAAGGATGACACACAAATTCCTGAAACGTTCCATATTGAAAATATAAATAAATAAATAAATAAAATCAAGGAAAAATATTAAATGACTTCTTAATTCTAGCTCTAGGGGCATCTGAGTGGCTCAGTTGGTTAAGCATCCGACTTTGGCCCAGGTCTTTATCTCAAGGTTTGTGGGTTCGAGCCCCACATCAGGCTTGCTGTCAGTGCAGAGCCTGCTTTAGATCCTCTCTTTCTCCGTGCCCCTCCCCCCCCTCAAAAATAAATTAACATTAAAAAAAAAAAAGATGTTTGGGGCACCTGGGTGGCTCAGTCGGTTGAGTGTCCGACTTCGGCTCAGGTCATGATCTCACCGTCTGTGGGTTCGAGCCCCGTGTCGGGCTCTGTGCTGACAGCTCAGAGCCTGGAGCCTGCTTCACATTCTGTGTCTCCCTCCTTCTCTGCCCATCCCCCATTCATGCTGTCTTTCTTTCTCTCTCTCTCTCTCTCTGTCAAAAATAAATAAACATTAAAAAATTAAAAAAAAAAAAGATGTTTGCTAGATCTATGTCCAAAACAATTTTTATTATCAAATATTTCTGAGTAAGGACAGAAGATTTAGATGACTTCATTTTGAACTGTGAATTGGACCCAGTGCTCACACCACTCCAGGTTGGCCGGACCTACCTCAGCAGCCTGGTCAGTTTCATGGCTTGAGAAGCCCACTATGTTGTCTCAAAGCATGGCCACTGTTCCTTCTACCTCCCCCTGTTACAGACCAAAGAGCCCCCACACATGAAGCTGACTGACAAGAGAGACTCCCATGCCTGGCCATAGCCTGTCAGGGTCAGGTGACACAATCGAGACATGAGGAAGTCCCGCGGAGTGCACTGCCATTATGATACCCACGATGTCTGTTAAGGAGGTGAGGCCAGCTCAGAAACACACTCCCTGCACCTGCTTGCTTTCCCTCCTTCTCTGCTTTGATTCCCTTTCTCCTCCCTTCTATTTTCCCGGGATTGCACATGACTTCTCCTCCTCAAAATTATTAAGTGTTAGCATGTAAGCTTTTGCTTCAGGCTGTTTTCAGGGAATCTGTATTAAGACAAATAGTAGCCATTTTTTAACAAGCAGTAAAATCACAGGTTATAGACAATTTCAGGCTAGATTCTCCCTCCCTATGTTTTTGGAGTCCTTTTTCCTTTCTCAGTCATTGGGTATTCAAACTACTCTACTATGTTTAGCTGAAAATTTACACTTTTTCCAATATTTGCATTCTGTCTAAATTTAGCCCAATTATTAGGAATTATGGTTTAATTATAACCTTTCTAGAATATGTAGATTATCACAAGTATTCAACAGACAGTAAGAGGAGGAATAATGTGAAGTTTGTCAGAAACATTAAAAATAAACATTCATACAATGGAGCAATATGCAGCAATAAAAAGGAGAGACCTCTATGTAATGATAGGCTATGATCATCAAAATACATTGTTAGGTGTAAAAAACAAAATGCTTTTGTGTTTTTGTGTGGCAAAGACATGAGGAGAAATACATTGTAGTCAGTAATTTTACTAACATTAGCAATATTGCTATTATTTGAAACTGTTATTGGTGTATTTTAGGATTAAACAAATACATAATTATGACAATGTCATCAGAACTAAACTTTTCAGCATAAGAAAAAATAGACATAAATATCAAATCAAACAAACCAAATAAAAATCATGTTATCTTTATCTTTTTAAGCAATCTCTACACGCAATATGGGGCTCAAACTCATAACCCTGAGATCAAGAGTCACATGCTCTACTGAATGAGCCAGCCAGGTGCCCCCGAATCATGTTATCTTAAATTTTATTTGGAAATATCCATATGAACTTATAAATTTTTTTTCTTTAAAAACAAAATTCTGTCAGCCAAAAGACCTAGAAACAATGTTGACTCAATAGTAATGAACAACCCTAGTACTCCGTTTGTGGTCTCTAAATACCATTTTCCATTAAAAAGAATCAAACATCCATGGAGAAATGGTGGCTGACTACCAAGAACATGAAAGCTAAGAAGTTATCAAGAAAGATGTCCCAGAACTGATTGTTAGCAGAAGGGAGGTGGATGGGGGCTTGAGTTAAATGGGTGATGGGGATTAAGAAGTGCACTTGTGATGAGCACTGGGTGATGTATGGAAGTGTTGAACCACTATATTGTACACCTGAAACTAACATTACACTGCATGTTAACTAACTGGAATTTAAATTAAAACTTTTAAAATTTTTTTTTTCCGACGTTTATTTATTTTTGGGACAGAGAGAGACAGAGCATGAACGGGGGAGGGGCAGAGAGAGAGGGAGACACAGAATCGGAAACAGGCTCCAGGCTCTGAGCCATCAGCCCAGAGCCCGACGCGGGGCTCGAACTCACGGACCGCGAGATCGTGACCTGGCTGAAGTCGGACGCTTAACCGACTGCGCCACCCAGG